CTTTTCCCTTTACATTGGTTGCGCATCTCATAGGATCCCTTCGGGTGCTGCCGGAGCTGGCAGATCTGGGACAGCTGTTTAAAATAACACATTGGCACAGAAAAGGGGGGACCAGAGGAAACGAGGTCTGCCCACACACAGCTCAGGGAACAGTACTGAATCTCTACAAACGCCGTGCCCTGACACAGAGGTTGCAGACAAAATGCCTTTCCCAAAGGGAGCCCTTCGCAGCCGTTCCAGGGAGGTGCTGCTGGAAGCAGTGCCCAGAGCTCCCGGCAGGACCGGTGCTGGTGGCGCTGGCAGCCCCTCCGTGCCAGGCAGGAGCAGTTCAGGCGGGGACAGGGCCAGGCCAGGCGGGCTGCCAGGGGAGAGGGGCACCAGGAGGGTGTCTGGCAAGGGGAGGCCGGCTGGGTCTCGCAGCAGGCAGCCTGGGAGGCCATCTGAGCTACCCACGCTATAAATACACCGGGCGGGTAAACACTTGGGAGGAGGAAAAAACCAACGACTTCAGCTAATGGGCACGGCTGCCACAAGGTATAAATCGGTCAGGAGTAAAATTAGGCTGGAGAGGAGGAGGCAGATCGGTGCTGCTGCCCACGAGGCCCTGGCTGCAGCACTGCCCTGTCGCCTGGGGCTTGGTGCAATTGGGGCTGGACTCAGAGCAGACACCCTGTGGCTCAGCCAGGCTGGGCAGGGATCTGTTCCCAGGGTGGCAATGCTGCAGACAGCAGGACACCCCACTGGAGGACTGCTGGGCTTGAGGCTTCTTCTTTTAGCAGGTCCTTTTAGAGCCAATCCCATGCCATCCATAGTGCTCATCCTTGCTGCACCCTCCTGGGAAATAACGGCACTCTGGAGGGGCAGGATCCAAGGACCTGGGAAGTGAACTGTATTTATCACTGCTGCTAATGAGCACTGGAGTGTTGAGAAGTTACAGGGGCTGTTTGCACAGCAGAGGTCTGAGCTGCCTCTCCTTAAAGCCACCCTGTACTTTGTCTCTTACAAGAAGCAAAAAAAAAAAATGCCCTGTCCACATCCACATGGTGGCAAACAAGAACCTGATTCATCCTGAGATAATTTGTGTACATTCTTTTTCTTTTCATTCCTGAGCAGCCTTTGCATATATATGAAGAAAGCTCTTAAGCAGCACTGCAGTCAAACCTGATCTGCTTTTAGAAGGCAGATCCTTAAATTACCCTCTCCCTCTCTGCAGGCAGGGAATTGCTGGATATTCTGGTGCAAACCCGTGGTGGTGGCACGCGCGTGTTCGGCTCGAGCTGCGCTGCTCTGCTGGGCAGTGACAAACCTCGTGGCCTTGAGCTGGCTGCAGTGGAAGGGCAGGGAGTCCCAGAGGGGGGTGACCTACAGGGCTGCTTGGGGTTCTGCTCCTTGTGAGTTTGGGGCTTGCAAACTGCATTTGGACAGCCTCGCTCAGCGGGGCTGGGGGCGATGCCGTGGTGGTCTGCATGGCTCAAGCAGGTGTGACACTGGTGTGACACCCTGGCACCACCCCAAGCAAGGTCACAGAGCAGATCTGGGCATCCCATCCAGCTTCATCCAAGAACACAAACCACCAGGCAGGGCCAAGGTCAAGCTGGCTCATCAGCCTGCAGTGTCCCCCTGCTTCTGGGGAGGCAGGCTGGCATCAGAGGGGTGAGCACTCACTTCACTCCTGTGAAAAGCTGGACAAAGCAGCCATTTGTGTTTAATGCTCCAAACTGCCGGTCCTGTGCAGCAGCCTTAGAAAAAACTCCTTCCTTGCAGCTTTTCTGTCTCAGCCATGTGGTGCTGAGCTCTGGCAGCAGGGACAGCACTGTCCAGGCACAGGGACGTGCCCATGCACTGCTGGTGGCTCAGTGCTGCGTGCCCCAGGCTGCTGCTCGCCCTTTAAGGCCTGGCAGCAGCTGATGGCCACGTGTGCAGTGCCTTGGCACGCTGTCCGTGCCCTCTGCGCGGCGGGCACAGGGACGGCCAGCGCACCGGCTCGGCGGCTGTCCCTGTTCGGTGGCTGTCCCCACGCTGGCGGCTGCTGGTGGCCGGCGCAGGATGAGCGGGTGCCCAGCGGGTGCTGTGTGGGGTGAGGGTCACCATGCAGGCAGCAGGTGAGGGGCTGCCCGCTGCCGTGCCCCCCATGGCCCCAGGGATTCCCCGGGATGCAGGGTGGATGACTCCTGCTGCCCTCGCTAAGGGCTCGTCTCTCTGCTCTCCTTCCAGGTTTCAAGTGCCCCATTTGCTCCAAATCTGTGGCTTCTGACGAGATGGAAATGCACTTTATCATGTGTCTGAGCAAACCTCGCCTCTCCTACAACGGTAAGGGCCAGGCTGAGTGGGGGACACGGCGTCCTGTCACCCTGGGAGGCTCCGGGTGGCTGAAGAGCCGTTTGCTGTGGGCAGGCAGCTTGGCTGGGCTTCCCAAGGGGGCTGTGCTCCGGCAGGATGGTGCTGCTCCACTCTGCTCCCCTGTCATGGCTCAAGCCTTGCTCCTTTTGCTTTCAGGCTCCTTTGTAACAGCCCCCTACCCCGAGGGGGCCCCCTCCCCTCCCCGTGGTGCCAGAGGGAGCTCTGCTGGCACGTGTCCTCCTGGGCTGTCCCCCAAAGGGTCATTGCCTTCCTCCCCTCCTTGCTGGCCTTGAGCGCTGGGCTGCAAGCTCCAGCTCCGGCATCTCCCACCTCTCTCCCACCACTAGTGTGGGAGTGATGCTTACCCCCCACTGGTTGGTGATTTTTGGAAGCCAGGATAAGGGTTGTGTTCACTCCAGATGCCCCAGACCCATGCCCTCCACAGGAGCCTCCTGCCAGTGTTTCCCAGCACTGTTGCCATTCCACCCCATCCCGGCTGCCCCCGCAGCAGTGACCCTGGGCTCCGCTCCATCCCAGGGAGGGGAGTGCTCTGGTGGTCCCTGTCTCACTGCTGCCCTGTCCTCCCCTCCCAGATGACGTGCTGACCAAGGACGCCGGCGAGTGCGTGATCTGCCTGGAGGAGCTGCTGCAGGGGGACACGATAGCCAGGCTGCCCTGCCTCTGCATTTATCACAAAAGGTACCATGAGGGGACAGCCAGGCGGGTGGCAAGGGGACAGGCAGGCACACCTGAGGCTCAGCAGCATGCTGGTAACACGCTCTCCTCTTGCAGCTGTATAGACTCATGGTTTGAAGTGAACAGATCTTGCCCAGAGCATCCTTCTGATTGACCCGCCGAGCGTGCTTGCTGACTTCTCTCTAAGGTGAGCCTGAGGTGGGCTGCTCAGAAGGGACATTCCCATGGTGGCTTTAAATCCAGGGCTGGAAGTGGAGGACAGGGTGGGACAGGGTGGGACGTGACAGCCAGGGCTCCTGCTCCTCACCCGGGATGGTCTCTCTCTGCCTTTGCAGGGCACCTTGCTATACCTGCTGTACCTCCTCTCCCCGTCCCCCCTGCCCCGCCTGGAGTTTTGGGCTGACTTTAAATTCCTCGAGAAGACAAAAATAAAACCCAGAAACTTGAATCCACTTGGGACAACGGCGCAGTTTTTATTTTATTTTATTCTTTTTATTTGTTCTGTTGTTTTTCTGCTTTTTGTTTTGTTTTTTGTTTTGTTGTGTTTTTTTTAAATTTTAATTTAAAAGACTTAAAACAAAAAGAAACATCCAGGAGACGACAGTGTGAGAAAAGCGGAGCGACCTGCTCTCCCCTCCACAGCCGCTGGTCACCAGGAGAGCTCTGCCTGCCAGGGAGGCCCCGGGGACGCCCTCGGCCGAAACCCTGCCATGATGTTTGGCTTTTGTCCCCGAACCGAACGGGGAAAGCTGCCGGGGGACAGCCGGCCAAACGGAGCACGTGGCATTTCTCACCGGCAACCCCCCACCTCCCACCCGGACTCGCCCGGGGGCTCTGCTCGGTTTTTTGCACTGACTAAACGGGAAATTCCTCCTCTCTCCTATCTCCCTTTTGGAGATCTCCACCCCGGGCCCCGGCAGCGTTGAGATGGGGACTCTGCCCCACGCCGGGAGCGGGGACACTGCTCCCCCCTGCTGAGTCGCAGGGGTCCGTCTTTCAAGTGTTTACAATGAGAAAAAAAAAAAGGAAAAAAAGGATAAAAAAAAGAAGAAAAAAAGAGAAAACGGAGAAAAAAAAAAACAAACAACAAACCACAACTGAAGCTTCGTGTTGACTGGCGTGTTCTTCAATTTGAGCTTCCCTGCCCCGGTGATGTTTACAGACTGGTCACTCTTTAACTCAGCTATAACCACTCAGAGACTGGAGAGCTGCAGCATCCCCGCCGCCCCTCCCGTGCCCCCTCGCCGGGCTCCTCTTGCCAAAACTGCCTCCCCTCTTTCTTTTCCATCGGCTTTGAGTTGGACCCTTTTGAGGAGGGTATGGGGAAGGCCCCAGCGGCCCCCTGGATGCTCCCAGCCACCCCGAGTCGCAGGGGTGGCTTTGCTGGAGGTGCCAAGACGGTGTCATTTCATGGCAGTGACCCCCTCGCCCATCCCCGTCCCCTCCTGGCGCGGCGGGCGCGTTGTCGTTGGTGAGACCTCCCCTGCCGGTGGCCGTGCCCCTGCGGGAAACCTTTCTGTATTTATATATTAAAAAAAAAAACGGGGGAAAAAAAGAGTTCAGAGCTTGGGGGGAGCTTCCTTCATTAGTCAAGGTGTTTTGATATGGTATTAAAACAATGTTCAATAAAACATTCACTGTTATTTTATTTCACTGGCTTTCTTGGTGAAGCAGACGATGCCAGTGGGGTGCTGGAGCCCCCCAACCACGCCAGTTCCCCTTCTCTGTGCCTGCCACGTGGGGATGGCCACAGTAGTGCTCAGCAGGTGCCAGAGAGCTCCCACCTGGCACCAGCAGCACTGCAGCTCAGGGCAAGTGGCTGAGGCAGGACCCTGAGGATGCCCTGCCCTGTGTGTGCTGTCTGGGACTGGGGCCTCCTGGGAAGGGGCTGGGGGTTCCTATCCCTCTAAAAAACTTCACAGCACACGGACAGTGTGAGTCCAAAGGGTTTATTGGGGGTTTGGGGATCCCTGACCCCCAGAAGTGGGGATGGGGTGATTAGTAGGGACACATACAGTGGCACTGCAGGGCAGCATGGCCACCCTGGCCTTGCCTCCAGGGGCTGAGGCTCCCCAGTGCCAGCGCAGTGCTGGTGCTGCCCCTCAGAGCACCTTGCCGGGGTTCATGAGGTTGTGGGGGTCGAGTGCAGCCTTGATGGAGCGCAGCGTGTCCAGGCCCTCCGGGCCCAGCTCCTCCTGCAGCAGTGCCCGCTTGCCCAGCCCCACGCCATGCTCCCCGGTGCAGGTGCCCCCTGCTGCCAGCGCCCGCCTGCGGGACAGGGAAGGACAGGGGATGGGGACATCTGTCCATCCAGCCCCGGCCCCCCAGAGCACCCTGGCCCCACCTGCCCAGGCGCTCGGTGAAGGCGTGGATGCGCTGGGCCTCCTCCGGGTCCTGGGAGTTGAAGACGAGGATGCAGTGGAAGTTGCCATCGCCCACGTGTCCCACCATGGGTCCTGCAAGGCCATGGCTCAGATGGGGTGTGATGTGGAGCATGGTGACACCCATCCCCTCTGTCCCAGGGGCTGTGGCCCTGCTCACCAGTGATGTTGGAGGCCTGCAGGTCCTGCTTGGTCTCCACCACCACATCAGGCAGGCGGGAGATGGGCACACAGACGTCCGTGGAGTAGCCCTGGGCCAGGGAGGGCAGAGCTGTGGCACTCAGAGCACCACGGGCACCGCTGCCATCATCCCCACCCCTGTGCCTACCTGGCAGCCGGGCCGCAGGGCCAGGGCAGCGTACCAGGCGTTGTGGCGCATGGACCAGAGCCGCTCCCGCTCCTCCTGCCCCTCCGCCCAGGCCAGGCTGGAGCCTCCGTTCTGTTGCACAATCTCCTCTGAAGGTGACCAGGAGCTCTGGGACAGGACCCACGGCACCCCCGGGCACCCAGCCCTTACCCAGCGCCTCCAGTGCCCATCCTAGGCACCCATCCACATCCTGGGATACTCCTGGTCCCTCTGTCCCTTGTCCCTGGGTCCCTGTCCACCACCCTGTGACACCCCTAGTCCCCCCTGTCCCATGTTCATGAACCCCTAAGCAGACCCCCAGAGCACACCCCCATCCTTCACCCTAGTGTCTTCCCAGTCCCCATTCCAAGCATCCATTGCTGGTCCCCTCTCCCTGGTCCTGGGCATCTATGCTTTTCCTCAGGACACCCCTGATCTCCCATTTCCTATCCACAGGCAGCCATCCATGACTCCAGGCCCCCAGTTGTAGGCTCTGGTCACTTGTCCCTCATCCTGATGACCTCAAGGTCTCCAGTCCCCACCCAGCCCTGGGCACCCATCCCTCACCCCAGGACATGCCTGGTCCCACTCTCCCACGTCTTGGACATCCATCATTCATGGCCCCTCAGCACCATGCTTCACTTCTGAACACCCTGATCCCCATGTCCCTGGGCACCCATTCCTCATCCCTCGGTGTCCATCATGGCCTCCAGCCCCAGACATTCCCTCCTCCTCCCTATTCCAAGCCATACCCGTCTGCTGCTGCTGCTCAGCCAGGCTATGCCGGGAGCCGTGCAGCTCCAGGAGGAGCGTGGCCGCCACTGGCAGCCCCATCTCACTGAAGCGGCTGCAGGCATCAGCCATCACCTCATCCAGGAACTCTGGGTGGGAGGAGGCAGTGTTGGGCTCCACCAGGGGCACGTGGACCCCCTCCTCTGGCTGTGGGCACTCACCGATGCGGGCCACGGGCACGGCAGCCTGCAGCACCTGCACGGTGCAGGCCACGGCCGCCCCCACGCTGGGGAAGGAGGCGATGGTGACAGCAGAGGCCTCGGGCAGCGGGTGCAGGCGCAGCGTGGCCTGGGTCAGGAAGCCCAGGGTGCCCTCAGAGCCCACGAAGAGTGAGGTCAGGTCGTAGCCGGCCGCCCGCTTCCTGCACAGAGCTGGTGAGCGGGCACTCCCCTGGCACAGGGCTGGCCCAGCACGGCCCCTCAGCCCCCCAGCGCCCACCTGGGATGGCGGCCAGGGCCGGCGGTGTGGAGCAGGCGCCCGTCCGGCAGCACCACGCGCAGGTTGAGCACGTTGGGGCGCATGGCGCCGTAGCGCACGGCGTTGGTGCCCGAGGCACCCGTGGCAGCCATGCCACACAGCGAGGCATCCGCCCCAGGGTCTGCAAGCAGGGGATGGGCAGGGGAGACAGGTGGGGATGGAGTCCACTCCCACATGGACAGCACTCACTGGGACTTCAACAACAGCAAAACTGTGGGCACCCCGAAAAGCAATGGGGCCATGGCATTCCCATTTCTATGGGAACCTCTCGGAGCACAGCACACCTGTGGACACCACAGCACCCCCAACAATCCCACAATGCCCAGGCCTAAAGGAATCCCCAGCACCTCCAGTGCTGTCATTCCCAGCCCCATGATCCCCTCACGCCCACAGTACCAACAGGGAACCAGAGCCCGGTGCCACGCAGGTGCTTATTGAGGGCCTTGTGGGTGACACCGGGCTCCACCGCCACCGAGAAGTCCTCGAGGCTCAGCTCTGCGATGGCGTCCATGCGGCTCAGGTCAAAGCAGACGCCGCCCTGGCACAGGGGCACCCGGGGCTGAGGGCACGGCCGGGCACCCAGAGCCCCTGGGGGTCAGGGGTGCCGGGGCAGCCCATACCTGCACGGCATTGACGCCTCCTTCCAGGCCGGTCCCGGTGCCGAAGGGCACCATGGGCACACGGCTGCGGTGACACAGGGCTGCCAGCTCCTGCACCTGCTCCACCGCCTGGGGCCACACCACCACGTCCGGGGGGGCACACCTGGGCGCAGGCAGCACCACTGACCAGCTGACTTGACCACTTGACCCTCGCCATGGCCCTTCCCCAGCCTGGCATTGTCACATGCCCCTTCCCTTCCCCACGGCCCTTTGTCTACCCAAACATTTCCCATTCCCGGACCAGGCCCCTCCTGTATAACCCTCCCCTTACAATGCTTCTTGCCTTCCCCCTTCCCTTCCCTATGACCCTTCCCCTGATCCTTCCCCTCCCCAGGGCTCCCAGCCCCAGCGGCACTCACGGGTGCATGGACTCATCGTGGCCGTGCTGCTCCCGCACCGCTGTGGCCGTGGAGACATTGGGGGCCCCGACCACGGCCCTCAGGGCCTCCACGAAGTCAGGGGGCAGCGAGGGCTGCGGGGGAACAACGAGAGCCCGTCAGGCATGCCCTGGACAGGGTCTGATCGCGGGCACGAGGCCGAGCGGCCACGTCAGGGCCCGAGAGGCCTTTGGAGCCCCGGCCCCACCTTGGAGCAGCAGCTGCGGCGCCCCAGGGCTGCTGCCAGCGCCAGCACCCTCCGCAGCAGGGCCATGTTGCAACGGGACAAGAACGGCACCATGGGAACTGCACGGGACTGGGACATTGCCCTCCCCCGCAGCCTGTCTGGCCCTCCCCCACGCTGACACCTTAAGGTGGCTCCAGCCACGCGCCAGTGTGTCCCTGCCAGAGGGACCTGGGTCCCACCAGTGCCGGTGCTCATGTTCCTGTGCTGTCCCCTGCCTGGGCCGAGTCACTGCATTCACCATGGCCCTACCATGACAGGTGTCCCCATGCCTGCTCTATGCAAGTATCCCTGCAGCTGGGCAGGGGTCCATGACCCCATAGGAGACCACATGTTCCCACGCTCCTCCCTTCCCAATGAGGGGTCTGCATGCCCCCTGCCCCTCTATTCCTGTGTGCAGCCAGGCTTCCCCATCTGGGCACAGGAATCACCGTGTGCCCCTGTCCATCTATCCCCATTCCCAGCCAGGTGTCACCAAGTCCCCCTGTCCATCTATCCCCATTCCAAGCCAGGCGTCCCCATGCCACTCAGCACTCCTGGACAGGTTTCCTCCGGCCCAGAGAACTGACCACAGCCCACTGCATGCCCCCAACCTCAGCCCGCCCTGAGCCCCGGGTGTCCCAGCACGGTGACAAGGACACAGTGTACTCAGGGGGTGGCAGCGTTTATTGTGGGCCTCAGTTGGCCTCCAGGATGGAGTCGATCCAGTCGCGGAGCTTGGTGACGCGGGCGTACACGCCAGGAGTCTTGGTGTCGCAGGTGCTGCTGCCCCAGGAGACGATGCCCACCAGGTTCCAGGCGCCGTCCTTCTGGCACACCAGCGGGCCCCCGGAGTCGCCCTGCACGGGGCAATAGGTGAGCACCGGGCCGGGGTCCAGGGCCAATGTGGGCAGTGGGGTCCAGGGGCACCTACCATGCAGGAAGTGGCTCCGTCGGCGCCGGCACAGACCATCACGTCGCGGATGCGGAAGCCCCAGAACTCCTTGCACTGGGTGTTGGTGAGCAGGGGCAGAGCCACCTGCTGCAGCACGGCCGGAGTGTGATCGGCTGCGGGGAGAGGGCAGCGTCAGTGCCGGCACCGGGAGCGGGAATGGGGAAGGGGCTGGGACGGGGAGGGCGGCACCGTAAGGTGCAGTTACCGTTGGGGTCAGTGAGCCCCCAGCCGGTGGTGACACAGGTTATTCCCCCCGGGAATTCGTCAGTGGCCTTGGGCAGGCAGACGGGGGACACGCGATCCGACAGCTGAGCTGGAGTGGCCAGTTTGATCAGGGTGATGTCGTCGTGGATGGTCAGCATGTTGAACTTGGGGTTCTTGAAGACCTGAAGCACGCAGCACTGCTCTCAGCACCCGCACCCCCTGCCAGGGTGCTGGGCACTGGGCACTCCACAGGGATCAGTAGGGACCTAGGGGACCAATGGGGACCCCGGGGGCTGCTCCTGTGGGTCCCGTGATGGCAGGGTGTCTGAGCTGCAGGGCCCAGTCCCTGGGACACTGGGGAGCAGGGGGGACACTCCCCGGTCATGTCCCCTGCTGGGATGAGATGGACCCTGAGGCCTGAACCCCTATGCCTTGGGAGTTCCTGGGAATATGGGGACATGCAGGGCACCTGACCTGAAGGATGAGTGGGAGCAGGGACACCCCAGGGGATTACCGTGCAGGGATGTGAGATACCATGGACACCTCGGGGAACCCTGACCCTCTGGAGAAGGGGAACCGGGGACTCCTCAGGAGCACGAACCCCAGGACAAGGGGGACCCGGACATAAGCCCCCAGGCCGCCTGTGGTGGGATCCCGCAGGCACACGGACCCCGCCCCGCAGGTACCTTCTCGATTTTCAGCTCCTGCTGATCAGGGCCGGGTGCGTCCTGGTCGTAGGCGCCCACCACCACGGTGTCGGTTTTCCTGGGCACAGGCAGGCGCTGAGCACGGCGCACCGGCACCGCGGGCTCCCAGGGCACCCCGTGCCCGTGCCCAGCCCCGGCCCGGCCCGCAGCACAGCCGGTGCCTACCTGACGCCGCAGTGCGCAGCGGTGACCACCCAGTTCTCGCTGATCAGGGAGCCGCCGCAGAAGTGAAAGCCGTTGTAGCGCTGCCGGGGAGAGCTGCCCTCAGCACCCGGCACCAGCGCCGGCACCAAGGCCGGCGTGCTCCGTGCCCGGGCCCCGCACGGCACCCACCCCTGCCCCCGGCCCCTGCAGCGCTCTCACCTGCAGGGACACCTGCCATGGCCAGGACCCTGCCACCGCCGCCTCTCCGTTGACAATGCGGTTGTAGCCGCGGATGACGGGTGTGATGGCGGGCACGCCGCAGTCTGCGGGGCACAGGCGGCCGTGGGACGGCGGCTCCGGCCGCCCCGGCCCCGTGTCCCCTCCCCACCGCTCCCACCCGCCCCAGCCCCGAGCCCACCCCGCCAAGCCCCACCACCCCACGCACTCTCAGGGAGGGCGGCACGGGCAAAGCCCGCCAGAGCCAGGCAGCTCAACACCCACAGCAGAGCCATTGCCACTTGTGAGGACTGACCTGCCCGGCACCCGGTGGCGCTTATATGCACCCCTGGGCACCTCCCCGCTGCCGCTGGCCTTGCCACCGTGGCCTTGGGAGATAGCGTGGCAAATGGAACTTCTCCCAGGAAAGGCCTGGGAACATGACATCTGGAGCCAGTATCCTTGGCTATGGCTGTGGGACAGCACTGGCTGGACTAAATGCTGGCTCCTAAGTGTCTTTGGAATCAATCCAGCTCACCCATGTCCTTCTTAATTGGGGTCCCGGAGCTGGGCACAGCACTGCATGCATGGTTTCAGCATAGTGGAGTAGAAGAGCAGAATCCCCTCCCTTGACATGCTGCCCAAGGTGCTGCAGTTGTAGCCCAAGATACAGTGGGGTTTTCTGGGCTGCCTGCACATGTTGTCATGGAGTGGTGGAGTTTGAAAGCACCATGGAGTTCACCTAGGGCTGGGTCTGCAGAGACCTTCCAACATGCCACACAGATAGGGCTTCATCCAGAGGTCCATGTGCCTGGGACGCCAAAGAGTTGGGTGAGAAGATTCTAGAATTGGCTATGTGCCAGTGGCACCACACCAGCTGCCACGCTATCTCCCAAGGCCACGGTGGCAAGGCCAGCGGCAGCGGGGAGGTGCCCAGGGGTGCATATAAGCGCCACCGGGTGCCGGGCAGGTCAGTCCTCACAAGTGGCAATGGCTCTGCTGTGGGTGTTGAGCTGCCTGGCTCTGGCGGGCTTTGCCCGTGCCGCCCTCCCTGAGAGTGCGTGGGGTGGTGGGGCTTGGCGGGGTGGGCTCGGGGCTGGGGCGGGTGGGAGCGGTGGGGAGGGGACACGGGGCCGGGGCGGCCGGAGCCGCCGTCCCACGGCCGCCTGTGCCCCGCAGACTGCGGCGTGCCCGCCATCACACCCGTCATCCGCGGCTACAACCGCATTGTCAACGGAGAGGCGGCGGTGGCAGGGTCCTGGCCATGGCAGGTGTCCCTGCAGGTGAGAGCGCTGCAGGGGCCGGGGGCAGGGGTGGGTGCCGTGCGGGGCCCGGGCACGGAGCACGCCGGCCTTGGTGCCGGCGCTGGTGCCGGGTGCTGAGGGCAGCTCTCCCCGGCAGCGCTACAACGGCTTCCACTTCTGCGGCGGCTCCCTGATCAGCGAGAACTGGGTGGTCACCGCTGCGCACTGCGGCGTCAGGTAGGCACCGGCTGTGCTGCGGGCCGGGCCGGGGCTGGGCACGGGCACGGGGTGCCCTGGGAGCCCGCGGTGCCGGTGCGCCGTGCTCAGCGCCTGCCTGTGCCCAGGAAAACCGACACCGTGGTGGTGGGCGCCTACGACCAGGACGCACCTGGCCCTGATCAGCAGGAGCTGAAAATCGAGAAGGTACCTGCGGGGCGGGGTCCGTGTGCCTGCGGGATCCCACCACAGGCGGCCTGGGGGCTTATGTCCGGGTCCCCCTTGTCCTGGGGTTCGTGCTCCTGAGGAGTCCCCGGTTCCCCTTCTCCAGAGGGTCAGGGTTCCCCGAGGTGTCCATGGTATCTCACATCCCTGCACGGTAATCCCCTGGGGTGTCCCTGCTCCCACTCATCCTTCAGGTCAGGTGCCCTGCATGTCCCCATATTCCCAGGAACTCCCAAGGCATAGGGGTTCAGGCCTCAGGGTCCATCTCATCCCAGCACTGGACATGACCGGGGGTGTCCCCCCTGCTCCCCAGTGTCCCAGGGACTGGGCCCTGCAGCTCAGACACCCTGCCATCACGGGACCCACAGGAGCAGCCCCCGGGGTCCCCATTGGTCCCCAAGGTCCCTACTGATCCCTGTGGAGTGCCCAGTGCCCAGCACCCTGGCAGGGGGTGCGGGTGCTGAGAGCAGTGCTGCGCGCTTCAGGTCTTCAAGAACCCCAAGTTCAACATGCTGACCATCCACGACGACATCACCCTGATCAAACTGGCCACTCCAGCTCAGCTGTCGGATCGCGTGTCCCCCGTCTGCCTGCCCAAGGCCACTGACGAATTCCCGGGGGGAATGACCTGTGTCACCACCGGCTGGGGGCTCACTGACCCCAACGGTAACTGCACTTTCTTGTTCCCATCTCCATTCCTGTCCCCTGCCTCATCCAAATCACCATTCCCATCCTTGTCTGAGGTCTTGCCTGTCCCCTTCCTCATCCATATGGTCAGTCCCCATCCTCATAATGCTGACTCATAATGCTCATGGCAATCTCCCATCCAGATCCCCATGCAAATGCGAATCTGGACCCCCATCCCATTCCCATATCTCCATCTCTGTCTCAGTCCCATTCCTCATCCCACCACCAACCCCCAAGCCTGACCCAATCCTGTAGCCATAGCCACCATCCTCAGGGTGCCACCCTCCCCATCCCAGCCCCTTCCCCATTCCCGCTCCCGGTGCCGGCACTGACGCTGCCCTCTCCCCGCAGCCGATCACACTCCGGCCGTGCTGCAGCAGGTGGCTCTGCCCCTGCTCACCAACACCCAGTGCAAGGAGTTCTGGGGCTTCCGCATCCGCGATGTGATGGTCTGTGCCGGCGCCGACGGAGCCTCTTCCTGCATGGTAGGTGCCCCTGGCCCCC